AGCCCTATTTATCACTTCCCTTGGAGCCACTACAATAATAGAAACTTAAACGAATTGTTTTATCGAATTTGGTGTTGTGAAGCAAACTCATTTGAATAAGAGCATTAACTCTAAGCCGATTTGCGCCAGCTGACAGTTTTAAGCACAGCTACACAATCTTTCATGAACTTATTTGTAACGGGTGGTCGCGGTCTCTGAATCCTTATCACTGATGGAAAAACATCCACAAAACGTTGAAACTCCACTGAGCAGAAGCAAAGATGGGCAGCAAGATAAGAATGAACGTTCACATGATCAGATCAACTGCCGCTGAGCTGCTTGGGTGAAGCCGATCAAAGGGATATGGCTTCGTCACCAGAGACAGTGATCATGTTGGCTGGAGGGTGGTGCGGTTTAGATAGTGTCATTCAATATCACTAAGAACCAAGACCTTTTAGCGCGTTAGGGGGTGTATTTGGGAATGGGAAAATGTATGTGAAAAAATCTGCACACCTGTACAACATCATCGGTAGGATCAAAGCCGACGAAGCTTGTGTAAGAGAGGTGTCGGAAAGTGGCTCCACTTCTGGCTATCTCCAGAAAATGACTACAAATTGCCGTCTGAGAAGCATCGAATCCCAAATCGAACATCATCAACGAGAGACGCTCCAGGTGCATCTGAACACAAGAGAATATTGGTTTGATAAGCCTCATTCAGAACACAGACCAGGCCAGGAAGTCGGATTCTGTGGCGATTCCAGCCCAGAGACCGACACAAATTCCTTTAGGAAACCTAAAGCTTATCCCTCTTTTGGGTACCAGAGTTGTAGAAACTAGCGTACACTGATGAGCAGCCTTAAAGGTGAAAAACGTTAGTATGCCCTCCCCCTCCCCTCCACAATTCTCTCCTGCGAGCTTATCTCCTTTCAACTACACCTCTTCCGTAATTTCACTCACATTGGCGTCCAGGAGCTGAGAACTATAGGGTGGGATGTCGGTCAGGAGATCCACATTGCGGTGGAGCAGCACAAGGGGCGTGGGCACTAGCGCGTATGTTGCTTCACCATGGAAAACACCAAATTTGAGGCATCACAATTAACCCTGGTTTCCGCGCGACGTCGCATCGCGGCCCTCCTGAGCCCTTCGACACCCATTAGACGGTTTGCTCTTTGAATGAGGTAAGGAATCTGGTATTTACCCCAATCTTTCAGGCTCTAAGGGGGCTTTATGATGCATAACTTCAACCTACCGACGAATTCAGAGCACCAGCTTCAGACAGTCCAATCCGACCGACCACTCGAAGTGTAGATGCATTCGCTGCTATCAGATCGGATATCTGAACAACCGCAGTAACTACCCGTCTGACTAATCGCGATCCCAGAGAATACCGTCTCCAAATGGAAAAATTACACTCACCTTCGGAATTGTCTGCCCGCCCTTGCGCCGTTTAATGTGCAAAACTTCCAACTTAACATTTTCTGAAACAAACAAAAATAATCAAAGGACGCGCTAGGACAAGCCTAACCCGACCACGAACCGGCTTGTATGAGTTGATCGAGTAGCGCGTTGAAAATTGTGAGATCAGAATCTTCAATGTTCAGTGAGACTTCTTTGATTTCCTTCATTTTACCAATAAGAAACGCCATAAGCTCCTTGGCCGCCGCAGGAGTTACCCGGGAACCCTAAATCGAAATTTTCGATAACTCTTAACAGTTCATTACGGTAACCTTCCTTACCTGAATATATATCACGGGTTCAGGTACGGGTAGTTTCTCCTTTTTCAAACCAATAATCCGGAATTCGACTGGAGCTCGAATATCCACTCGAATATGGCTGTGATTAGTCAGGGCTCGCTCGATACCATAAGCGGCCCATGATGAAAGCGGCTGAAAAATCCAATTTCGTCAAGTAAGTATAAAATTCTCATAGTATAAAGGGAACTACCGTACCGTGAGCTTGATGACGTCACGGATATTTCCAATTGTGCCGACTTTCTCAAAGATGTTAGTAAGAACATCGACATCAAGATTGACACCAGTATGGGAGCATGATGGAAGTACAGCCGAAAGATCACTAGAAAGCATGGCGTATCCGATTTAGCAGTCCACTGAAGGGCTAACTGATGGGAAAAATGTCGTGTAACTCACGTTTCAGCTTGCACTGATGATGTCGACATTAATGAGTAAGCGAAGTTAGATCTGAAATGAATCACTGAATTGAACAATCGATTCGAAGTGAAGAAAAGGCCCGAATATCGGAAGGCAATGACATGGCAAGCGGCACTGCGATGTCGCCTAGGACAGAGCTTTGATGCTAATAAAAGCATTGAGGAGCATGAATTAAGTTCAATCGTAGAAAAAAAAGATTTTCTCTTTTGAATATCAGAAAAACGATAGGACATCTTTTCTTTGAAAATCTCTTATCTTCTGTAGATAAAAACTGTAGTGGAGTGTTAGCGGCCAGTTTCTCGTGCATTATGCTTCGGTTTGACATAGGAGCCAGGGAAGCCGAGGACGAAATTCCTCGATGGTTGCTGAGGACGGTGTCGGTACTGAGGTAGGATCCGCAACGGACAGAAAGAGGGAAGAATGAAGTAGGGGTGTGGGGATTTCTCGATTATTATAACACTTTCTCGAAAACAAAAGGAATTTTACGAAAGCTTAGCAATGTTGTGGAAGTGCACGAGAATTTCGGCCTACCCTCCGTTTGATGGGTTCACGGGCAAAACCAGAAATAGCTTCTGGGAGGATGGAAGGAGAATAGTAATACGACCCAAAGAGGGAACTCAGTCTTTGGAACCAGGAGGAGGGTCATATTAGGCCGGAGAAATACAGGGCGAACGTGCGCACGGCTTAGAGTTGCGCACTACCAGACTTTCCTTCCATGTTTTAGGAGGACGTGATCCAAGTTCACTCACCCACTGCATAACTCCTTTCCCAGCCTAGTCGAGTATAGGCATGAAAGGCCAAAGTGGTGTATTGGGGTTTTCAGGAGGAAAAGAGGGGAGTGTCATGAGATCTGATTTCTATAGGAATTAGCGCCGTGTAACCAAGGAAGCTTCACTTTTCACTAGGAATGCATAGGGTAGAGACCAGAGGGTACTCGAGGAAATATGGTGAGCAAATGCTCCTAACCCCAACCCTCGTCCTTGAATTGTACCCCCAATCCGCAATCGCTGATTCTTACTAGTCTTAAAAACTCCTTTTCTTGGCCGTAAGTTGTTTTAGAACTGACCCATTCAAACCCCACATTATAACCATTCGAAAAATTCTCGTACTATGGTCGAGTATAGACTTCAAAACTGTCGAAGAAGTACATTCGAAAATAGCACTTTGATAGGACTTATTGAATGATATGGCATGCCAAAAACAACAGATAAATGCTCCAAAACTGGAAGGTAAAGCAGCCAAAGAACAAGGCAAGGAAATCGAGGAATACGAAGATCACAGAAATAAAAAGCGAAAGCAGAGAAAGTGACCGAGCCGTCGGCAGATTAGAGGTGAACACCTGCCGTAGAAAAGTGAAAGGAGGCAACTCGATATATGGCGCGTAGATCTAAGAGATTAGAAAGTAAAACGTGAGACCGAGTCCGACCTACGGTGTTTTAAGCTCGAAGCTGGGTAAAGGTCACGCCGTTGAGCGCGTCCCTACGTCACTTGCACTGGGATTTATGGCGCCACATACATTCATTCATATTCCCCGACCTGGCACGAGGAAGCTCGTCTCTAACATTTGATTCGGTTTCAGAAGTTATTCCATAACTCAATTTCGCCACATTTGGTATTTTATTGTACTTAAACAAAACCTTAAAAATGCGACCCTTCTGCGACGTTCTCATCAGGGGTAGCAAATAAAGGTTAAATGGATTCCCTTCGTCCATTCTTGGGCCAGAGCATAGCACACAGCCTTGTCTGAGCTACGCATGATGGATCAGAGGGTTCCTGAGCTTCATTGTTTCAGACTTGTTTATAGTTGTTTGGATCGAAGCTCTTCCAAAAGCTTAACCGTATTTCCCAGATTTCCCCATTTTGTGATTGGTTGATTAGCTTCGTATATCATGTTGTATTGATTCACTCTTTTATGTAAGAACGTAATGTATGGATGATGTTATAGACCTGAAGAAGGGCTTACGGCCCGAAACGTCGTCAAATAAAGCTTTTGGAAGAGTTTCGTTCAAATCAACTACAAAGAAGTCTTATATTACTTAGGGTTCAAACAATTGGCTTAGATTCGTCCACCGCATTGAATACTTTTCCATCAACGAAGCCGTTGAATAGATGAAATGCTCTGTTGAATCATGGATTTCAAAAGAAAGTCAAATGCAGGGCTTGTCCTACAAGCACTACCAGTTACAGACTAACCAGCGTTTCAAAAGCAAGCAAAGGCCCTCACAAAATAAAGACCGTCATTCACAAATGAAAACGAAATACGAAAAAAATGTCGTCATCCAGCACGTGTGAAATTTCGGTACAAAGTACAACTAGTTTCAAACGATGAACTTGAAATGACCTTGTGACCACATGGGGGGAGGGGGAGGTGACAATTCATTCTCCCTCCACATTTGAAACTTTTTGCTCCTCCCCCTCCTCTCCATAAGTAGCCCCCTTAAAACAAGTGTAAGA